TGTTTAGAGTCCACCAGAATCAAGTATTACAATTTTATTATTAAAAGTTATTATTATTAAAAATTAAGTATTAAAAGCACTCTTAGAAATGTGTAAACAACAGATTTAAACCGACATATCCAGCATGATGAAAAAAATGAACAGAGGACTTCAGTAGTGAAACTTGTTTGAGTGGATTTATAAATGATTTACCTTGCAAATCTGATGAAATGGTGCACGTTGCGTTCCCAGATGAACGTTATAATAAACCCAAACTCACAACAACATGCAGAGACGGATTGGTTTGAAGCTTGGCTCTTACATCCAAGATATTTATGGCTCACTCGTATCAGCTGACGCAATTGCACTGAGGCCCAGAGTCTTACAGCCCCCCATAAGGAAATGGAAAGTGAAATGCGGCAAGGATTGGCGGCGTGTCTGGGAGGGAAAATTGTAAATGGGCCATGATTTTAAAGACTGTTTAGCATCAGATATCCGGGACATGCATAGAAAATGTTTTTTGAGTTGTATTGTTGATTGTGACCCATATCATCCGCCTTGAACATCTAAAATGGCTTACCTCCTCGTTTTCAGCGGTTTATACGAGTTTATTTTCTTATGTCGTCCTGTATATTGATGTCAGAAGTTTTAAGGTTTCTCAACTCTTCCCCCTTTGACTAGTAAAAGGTCTTAGCGCAGCACTTTACTGCCACCAGACTCAAGTCAAGGAACAGCTGGGCTCTGAATTTGAGCCAGGAACACAGGTGGTCATGTCCATCAGCTTTATCTGTATACTCAACCATCCACATTTCCCTTGTCTTCTTTCCTTATCCTTTGTGTCTCAACATAAATTTTTTTCTGTTCTGCCTATGTTTCTCCACGTGTTTACTTCTGAGTGTTAAGTGAAGTGATGGTGCTTTTTTTTTTCTTGCCATAGACCACAAATGGATGTTTGGCAAGATGTTGCAATGCTCTTTCTCATTGCAAGTGAATAGTGAGCAGAGTCTGACTGTTAAGCTCTAAAATGACAAAAGCACCATAAAAGTATTGTTGGCTCAGAATATACCTCAAATCACACAGACTTTGTGATTTTTGACACATTTTTTTTTTTTTGGAGCTTAAAGCTCCCTGGTCTCTATTCACTTCCACTGAATGTAAAAAAACAGTGTCAACATTCTGCTTATCTTGCTTTTTTGTTTTTTTTGTTTTTTGTTTTTATAACATGAGGTAGGGCTATATTACTGAAGTTGCAATTTTGACTTGTCAAACCGCAAAGGCTGCATGAAGTGAAGCAGGGCATGTTTATTATTATTATTATTATTATTATTATTATTACTTTTTTAAAATGTAAACATTCAGGCAGCTCAATTTGGGTTGCTTATAACAGATTTGGGAACACAACATGCACCAACCATCTTCCCAAACGTTTGAAAAGCACTAATAAACAGACTGTTGACAACAAAAGAGAAGATTTATAAGACGCTTTTTTCCGCCAATATGAAAGCTTGATGGTTTAACATTTGAAAATTAAGAAATATATTAGAATTGTTATTATGCAGTTGTATGGTAAATAAAATATAATAAATGTCATAAATATAATACAATTATTGTATTATTTTTCTTTTAAAGTGAAATATTACAGCAGTTATATTCCTTATTTAGTTTTATTATTATTATTATTATTATTACTACTATAATTATATTGATTTAATATCACAAAAGTTTGGGCCAAATTGTGCAGCTCTACCATCAAGTATAGAAAACCTTTTTGTAATCACCTTTTAAATCGCAATTTTTATCAGGAAAATCACAATTAGGCTTTTTCTCTAAATGGTTCAAGACTAACAATGTTGACAAAATGTTGATTTTTGGTTAAACTCTTCCTTTAGGACCTCTTCTGGTCTGGTCTGTTTCCTGTATGCTTGCCAAAGTGCTACACCTGGTGGAGGACTTTCTGTGGGTTTGTTATTCAGACAGCCATTTCCTCATGATGTCCTCACAACGTCACAGTGCTTCTTATGTTTCATAAATATGTGCACGGTCTCAAACGGGCTGTTGAGGGCAGAGGCTCGAGGACAATAACTTTTGTTCTCTTCCCCTAGTGCTGTCCTGCTCCAGATTTCTATTTAGAGCTCAGCAGAGAAGACTTGTAAATGTTTGTTGAAGTGAATAGCAGGCAGCCGAGACAGGAAATGTGGTAGAACTTGGAGAACGGAGGGATAGGGAGTCTGAAATGTCCAGGGCAGGTTTTGAAGGTTTGAGTACAGCTTTATACATGAGGGCAGACCGTGTGCATTGCATTCAAATACATGCCAACAGCAAAAGCTGGATCTCATTAGGGTGTTACCACCAAATGTCTTATTATGTTATTACACACACTAAGTGCAATTAATGATGCACAGCATTTTGCATTTTGAGTTGCTTTTATTTGTGGCCAAATGTGGTGATGCTGTTGGAGTCCACAGGGTCAAGGTTTCCCATAGTCTTGTTAACCCTGCTGGTAGATGTCGAAACTACACCGTCTGTTTCCTAAAGCATCTTTCTCCATTGATGGCCATATAAAAGCAAAGCAGCTGCAGTTCAAATGAATGGGAATGCTGACAGATATTCTCCCTGTTTGGGTCAAGAAAACCTCACGAGTGTACCTTTTAGCTTTAGGGTGGGACTCTAATCTTTCCTATTTACCATTTCTGTGGGAGTTTTGAGCAAAGTTTCCTCTTAAATGTTAATCGCCAACGGAAATCTTGCTGAACTGCTTGCCAGATCAGCAATAGGTCAGAAAATTCCTCCAAAACTTGGCAGAGCTCACATGGTTTGGAAAGAATGTTCACAAATTCACAAGTTTGGCAGGATATTGGGTCTGGGTTGTGTGCCTTATCATCAGTGTGTGTTCACACTTTGCTCTGTAGTAATCTGAAACTGTCATAGGGCTGGACAATAATTCAATATCAATATGTATCGCGATATAATTTTTTTCAATAACGGTGATATGATTTTTAAACACTTTTCCGATATTTCGATATACATTACCAGTTTCCCATACATTGATTTATTTGTGGTGTTTGACTTCGTTGAATAAGTCACTGCTCTTATTTTCCCAGAAGGCATCAGACACAGGCTGACTAAGCCTTGGAGTTTCACATTTTGGTTTTGCTATTCCAATAGTGAACAAGCGATAAGCCTAAAAAAGTCACTGACATAAATGTGAATGTGACTCATGCGTTCCTGGACATGACACACAGAATGTCATTTCCCATTCATAATGTACACTGAGTCCAGATGGCAGTAAAACATTTTCCACATTGCAAAATTTGGATGTTCATTTCCATGCATTTCCAATTTCCATTTCCAATATGCAAGCACTTGCATATTTCCCTATTCTCTTCACTTTCCCTTTTGGGCGATGCCTCAGGCCTTTTTCTGAGTGATTTATATGCTGTGGTTTACTTCATTGCTTCAAACGCTGCACAAGTAAGACTGTAAAAGTCAATGCTGCATCAAAGTGCTGGATTATTTTAGACTGGCTTTTTTGTAATGATGAAGGATTTATTGTGTTTAGGATTACATGGTGAGTTCTTTGTCCATGCTGAAGAATTGACTTCCTCTCAGGTGTGTTTATTCTTGTGCGGTTGGGTTTGATTGATTGGAAGGTGCTGCTTCTTTCACTGCAGTGGCTTTAGAGTTGACATGGATTTGAATAGTTGAATAGCTCAGCATGAGGTGTGGTTGGCTAATATCAATTTTTAGCTGATCTTGCTTTTAAATCTAATGCTTGTGTCATTTATTTAAGCTGATGCAACTAAAGTGTTTTTGAATGCTTGTAAAGTATAATGCTCTTTTCTTGATTAAATAGTGACAAAGGACTTGATAGAACAGGTTTGCAGGTTCAGAGAAATGTTCCATCTTCTCATTTGTTGGTGGCCTACATAAGCACAGAGCCCTGAATTTAGACTTGAATATCTTCAGAATCTGGGTCAAATTATAATAAATTCAGCTGCTTTTAGATATCAAATAAATTAGTTTATTGCTTTTGGAGATTCATATTAGTGGTGTTGATGCAGGCATCTCTATTGCTATAGTTCATACTTGGGGTTAAGAAGAAGAATTAAGCTAACCTTATGTATTCAACTTTGATAACTTGTCCTGCACAATGCTACCAGTGTTAATTTATATGCTATTATAGTTTTAAGTAATATTTTAAAATTAGCAATATTAAAATATAATTAAAATTTTAAATATTGAAAAATTATTTAAAAATTTTATAAAATTTTATTTTTTCATTTTAATTAAATGTTTAGTAGTTTTGTCATATGCTTTTGTAATTTTTATTAGTTGTTTAAATTAATTGTGATTCCAGTTTTATATTTTTATTTAAGTTTTAGTTCATTTCAATTATTTGCCTAGGAGACCTTTCAAAATTTTCATTTAAGTTTTTTTAAATCTAACATTTAGGCTATATTTTATTTCAGCTTTGTTTCAATTAACAAAAATGTTTTTTTTTAATAGTCTAAATTTTAGTTAATGATGCTAATGATGATTCCTTTCTGCATGCTACAGAAAGAAATGATACCTAGAATTATGCAGCTTATTGAGAAGATGTGTGCTATTACGTTAAGCTATGAGACTTACGATTTCCACTTGACAGATGAGAAAACGAGCTAAACATTTCTATAGATTTACATACTGTAGGAGTGAGATGAGCCGTATGTTGAGACCAGAATAGTCATAGAGACTTGGGGGTGAGCACTTTTGGCTTTGGCCATTAAGCAACCGCATAGTAACTTCGCAGAACACATTAGCAACCACATGGCGTTGTGCTTTACAACATTCTTTATTTTTTTATTAGAGTACCCTGGCAACCACTCACAACATTCCTGTATTGTGTTTGTTCTCAGCACCGCTCACATTTTCTTCAAAAAATGTAAAAATCTGGTTTCGATTTGAAATGTTTGTAGTTAGTCATCTCATGACACTTCATTACATACAGATTGACTAATGTTTGTTTTCTGTGGCTGTTTCAGCTGACCCCAGGCGGTAAGGCGGCCCAGGCCGGAGTGGGTGTTGGGGATTGGTTGGTGTCCATCTCTGATGCCAACGCAGAGGAGATGACCCATGTGGAGGCACAGAACAAGATCAGAGCCGCAACCGACTCCCTCGCTCTCACTTTGAGCAGGTACACGCGCACACTTACTCATCATCTTTCATCAGCGTCTTAGAGTTTCAGTATCACATGAAGGGAGAGAGGATGACTTCACAGGAAATTGAGTTCTCTGGTTAATACATCACTGTTAACCCTTTTATTACAGTCTTGAAAAATAGACGGTGATTTTTATAACAGGTGGTACATTATAAACAACAAAACACCAATACTCAGACGTTTACAACTGTGATGACATCAAAGAACCTTGGAGCAGATTCCTGGGCTTTGAAAAAAAGACTTGTCTGACACAGTTTACTTAAGTTATTAGATAGTTAATAGTATTTTGTTACTCCTGCTAATGTAATTGTCTGATTATGGTGGGTTACTGTTGTTTTGTTTAGAATGCTAAAAGCATTGCCTATAGCATTGCCTGGCAACAGCCAGTCCAGAAGTAAAAATCCCATCCATTTTCGAAATTGATTTGATTTATAGTGATGACATCTAAAACAAAGAAAAAAACCTACCACAAGCTCCAGGATTGGTATAGCACTGTTTTGGTGTATTTTTATTTTTTAATTAATTTATAGCTTAATATGCTGTATTTAAAAAAAAAAAAAAAAAAATGTGAAACTGAAATACATTCAGTGTTATTGTTAACTAAAAAATTTTTTTTCTAATTGACATGAAATAAAATAAAATATAAAAATATCAGATGAAAAATAACTTAAAAAGTCAACAAAAATTAGAAATGTTTCCTTGGCAAGTAAACAAAATAAAATAAGTTTAAGATGAAGTACTAAAATTACTAAAGCTAAAACTGAAAAAAAAAAAATATATATATATATATACACATATATACATAAGAATAATAAATTAAAGATAAATTGAATTATTAAAAAACAAAATTACTAAAACCTAAACTAAAATTAAAACTAAAAAAATATTAATAATACCGTAATATATAAATAATACTAAAATAACACTAAATGTATTAAGCACATAAAATCCATATGAAATATTATTTTATGCTTATTAATGACTTAATGATGTTTATATTGTACTGTTGTTTTCAATTGTAGTTTTTTTTTTTTTTAAATCAAATGTTATGATTCATCTCAGAGCTGGTTGGTTTGGTTCTTAAAACAATTTATTGAATATTTGTTTTAATGCCTATGGAGAAAGTGTAGCTTTGTTGGAAGAGCATGGTAGTAACAATGCCAAGGTCATAGGTTTGATTGTCAGGGAGAAACAAACTGTTGCTCTGTAAGTCTGCTCTGGGTAAAACATCTGCCAAATACATAAATGTAAAATGAATGGGAAAAATACTTCAAAACCAAGGCCACTTAAAAGCCGGGCAGTCACACTTGCACTCTGTTGTGATATTTTAGCTACTAATTGTCTGTTGTTTTGAAAATTGACTTTTAAACAGTTCCTTATTTAATTAAATTTTGTTTGGCTCAAAACTGTGTCTAGAGAGCTGATCTAACAGGCAGTAACATGACTCCAAATAAAAATGTCTTTTACTTGTTGCCATAACAATTGTGCTGATAACTTGGCATGGTACCTTGTGTGGTATTTAAGCAGAATTAAATGGCCTCTAGATCTTCAGGCTTCTTGTTTTGTGCAGACATATGTTAAGGCAGGTATTAAATGCATGACTCCAAATGAAAATGTCTTTTACTTGTTGCCATAGCAGTCGTGCTGATAACTTGGCATGGTACCTTGTGTGGCATTTAAGCAGAATTAAATGCCTCTAGATCTTCAGGCCTCTTGTTTTGTGCAGATATATGTTAAGGCAGGTATTAAATGCATAGAACAAATCTTTAATGTGGCGTAATAAAATAGCTCAGACGACCCTGGGCTAAAGGTAGAGCAGATAATTTGGAGACAGAGTGGTAACTCCGTGACTTGAGCTGACCTTCACTTTTCAGCACAGAGATGGGAAACCTCCAGTGCCTCGGGACGCAATTCTGAAATCGCTTACATTGCACTCTTTTTGGGAAACTGCATGAAGAGCCCAAAAAAGGAAAGTTTGAAATGGAGCTTACTGCCCTCAGACAGAATTTAAGTTACTGGTAGAAAAAGTCTAATGTCTGTGGTTAAAAGATGAGCGTAGTTGCAGAGTGACAGATGCACTCATTCCTGCTCTGTCATTAGGCCGCTCCTGTGATCAACACTAAAAGACTAAGAGCCTGTGTAATGGTCCAAACCACAGTTATGAATGTGGTTTTCTTCCTTTTTTGGGTGTGCGAGAATCGTTTATATGTCATCACATTGGTAAGCGCTTGTAGCGGTTAGTAATGGCTTGTTTAAGTGAAGAGGGATAAAAACCATGTGCTTGAGTTATGAGAAATACATCTCCCTCGATAAAACAGGGCTCATATATGCATGACTCCAGTGTTTATATGTAAAACTTTTGTCTCTTTGCACTGGCAAATCTCCTGAAGAAGTGTCAAGACAAAGTCATTTCACCCTAAAATTGAAAAAAAAAAAAAAAAACTATTTAAGGTTGTATATATATTTTATGCTATATATTTAATGCATTTTATTCTGAGAAAATGAATCCTTTTAACCTATACAGAATTTTGTTGATGATTATTTTTGCATTATTCTATTTTTTGGGGGGTGAAGTATAACCCGGTCATTTCTTAGTGAGATTCGCTTTGATATAAGGGCTGTTTCAGGTCAAAGAGGGGTTGTCATTTTCTCTAGGCTATATAATGTCCTCTGGAATGAGGGAGGACTTAAATGAATGGGGTCGGTTCGGTCATAAAATGTTCCTGATGCAGAGACTGGCCGATTCTTCAGACCGCTCTCTGTCACAGGCCACATCTTTGGAATGCTGGGAGACAGGATGAGCTGATTGGAGGTGTGAATAAGAGTGGGCGTGTCTTCATGAGTCATATCACCAATGGCTAGATGATGTCATTTTTTGTGGAGTTTGTTGTGACATAACTGTGAAAACATCTGTTTATCAAAGTTCATAATTACCCCTTTGCCCAGTACGCTGATAGATGACTAGTATCTTGACTATTGTTTTGGGAGCTTTGGTTGTCAGACATGTCAGTGTGTCTCTCTGTTGTTGTCTATCATAGATAAATTACAGTGTTTGCGTCCCATGGAAAGGCATGCTTGAAGACAAATGTCTGAGCATGTCTGTATTTATTCCGGTATATACTTTTATTACAGAGGGTGGTGTCCTTTTTGGTTTACATGGCATTTGATAGCCATTTGGGCAACCTCTTCAATTGTGGTTTGCAGCGGTTCTTTGAAGCACAAAATCTCTTTTTAGCTTTGTTGCTCTAGACCGTTGTCCTAGTTTGCCCTTTCTGTGTGCTTTGGTCAATGTTTGTTTTAAAGAATTAAATTAAATTTGAAATCAGAATGGATTTGTCTCAATGTGTTTGTCTTCATAATCTGGTCAAAATGTATTAACTTGTTTGTATTAACGGGTTTCCTGGTCGGCTAACATTATGTAGACTGCACAGGCTGTTTACTAATAGACAAATAGTTGTTTAGGCTTAAACTACTGTTACTGTTTTGCAATGGATGTAAAATGACTTGCACATTCAGTTTCATGTTGATTTTAAGCATATTAGTTTTGAAGATTTCATCTTTGCTTACAAAGCGAAGAAAAGCTGGTATAATGCATTTTAGGAAAGCTTTGTAAGGCTTGCTTATTTATTCATTTATTTATTTACCTACCTACCTTGCAGGAAAATCAATTGCATATTGAAAATAGAAAATATAGTGAAGCTATATATTGCGTCTATATACTGTCAGTTGCACTGGACACTGTTCATTTCCTGTGTCATTTCCTGGAACAGATGACTCTTGTAAAACAGCCTGGTTGTGCTATTTTCTTCTACATTTTCTCTCTAAACTGATATCTGTAAGCAGGCCACTGTGCAAAAGTACACCCTTGCTGTCACAGGAAGTGGTGTATAGGCACAGGAAGTGCAGACTCATGGGGAGGTTACTGATGGAATGCAACTATTTTTACAGCCTAGTCAAACTAACCTAGACGGTCCAGTTAAAGGCAGAAGTTTTTGAATACAATGCTTATCTTGAGTACAGTGATAATATTGGATGGTAATACCGTGGCACTTTGATATTTGGGTCGAATAGCAATGACAGCAGTGTCTTTCAGTCTCAAATGCTGTACTTATGAAATCAGATTAATTGAGAAGCTACGCATTTATTTGTTTACTTGCGATATATATATATATTTACTTTTTAAAATAAATTTTTAAAAGGTATTTAAGAGTGCTCAAACTTGAACCTAACTACTTTATTCAACTGCATAATTGTATGATTACTATGTTCATCTATGACTCATATTTAAGTGATGCATTAGGGTACTTCAAAATAGCATTTGATAAGTTTTTGTTCATTTATTAATGGAAGAAGAATTAAAAAAAATTTAAAAGCATAGTTGGAAAAGGTCTTTTTAGTGTTAGTGTTTTGTGACTTCAATAACCAGAAATTTTCATACAAATCTGATACGTTGCTATTCTACATGTTTGAGTCTATTCAAAATCATTTGGACAGCCATCAGGTATTAGTTCACGCTTACAGCTGCAGCATTCCATTCAGATTGACAAAATTTGATTTGGAGCCAGAAAGAACCGATTTAATTCTTGAGTCTTGTTGTATTTGGCACAGATGTCTGTCTGTCCATTATACTGTCCTTAGTTAACATTTTAAACATTGCAGTTAAATGAGTAATTTTTATGAATGAGCTTAAGTGAATTCTTTCTCTACTTTTCTCTCTGCAGAGCTTTTAATCCTGCCGGAGGAGAGCAGAACGTAAGACATTTGCCCTTTTTCTCTTGTGTCGGACAGAGCCGCAAAGCTTTCGCAAGACCACTTAACCAGCTCCTGATATCTGAAGAAACACATTTAGACCAGTTCTCAAGTTCTCAGCTGTTTTGAATACTTCAGAACTGAGCGCGTGCACACACACACACACACACACACACACACACAGTTATCTAAATGTTGTGCCATAGATGTTTATTTTGTTTTTATGTAAGGTCATTATATCTTTATATAGCTTATGAAAGAAAGCTTTTTCTCCGATTTAGCTCATTTCTTTGGATAACTTTGTCCCCAAAGTATGTCTAAGTGAACTCTCACACACTCATTTCAGCTTTCAACTAGTGTGATTTCACTCAAATGCACAGTGCTTCATATCTCATTCATAACTCATTTTCATGTAAGTTTCATGGCTCTTTTGGCTTTCTTGTGCTGGTTGCAGTATATTGCGGAAGTTTGGGTGGTTTGTCTGTTTTCCTGTCTGATTCAAATGTTAAGCATCTTGCTTTTGGTCTTGCTTAAACCTCCCTTCAGCAGTTTTTGGTTTGGTTGTATTTGCATCGCCACAGAATGCACAAACCCAGATTGAATCTACATTTCCCAGGAAGCCATCTGCACATACTATAACAGCAAAAGTTAATAAGCTTATAGAAAACTTATTTCTAACTGTAGAATTTAAATGCAAATTAAAGTAAATGTAAATTATAAACCTAATTAATTTTTTTATATTTGCGTTTTTATATTATATTATATAAAATAATTTGAAATATTATTTTATAAAATATTACATTTATAATTTTAAACCTTTCATATTACATATATATATTTTTTTTATAAATATGTATATTTTTTCATTTAATATTTGACACATGACAAGTATATTTAAATGGTTTTAAAGGAATGTTTAATAATAAATTATTCACTTGTAAAAAGAATGTTATTTTATAGTAGAGTCGGTAGCAAATAATAATAATAAAATAAATAACTGATTGTTAATAACTAATCAGATTTTAACTGCCATTTAAAAAAGAAAAAAACTGAAAAAAATAAGTTTGAAATTGCGCCCTCATGTGGCTGCAATAGCCCATAGCACGGGTCTCTGCAACAGTGCCTGCTATAATCCTACTCATATCAGTTATAATTTTACTTTAAAGCCATTCAAGAGCAGAATGCAGCCGAAATGGAGGACCTTTTAGCTGTACCTTGGCCTGATCTCAAGATAAATATGTGTGACCAGGGTGTGTTCGCACTTCTCAAACAATCCCCCCCTACTCTCACTGTGTTCATAATTTGCTGTGAGAACACATGAAGTCAATTCACACCTCCCCCCCAGATAATTCTCTCTTTTGGAAAGGATTAAGCATTAAAACCGTATCTGGGATTGTGCATTTACCTGTGGTGCTGCTAGTGTGTGTGCATGGTGTTGCATTTGCACTGTTTCTTTCTCCACACTCAGGATTCACACGCACCTGCATCCAGTCAGCTCAAGTACTCGTTTGCACCGAGCACGACCATAAACAAGATGGCGCGGCCATTCTCTGCAGCCCCTGGCAGTGGCAGCAAGGGGCCTGTCATCAAGCCGGTGTCGTACGCCCCCAAGCTTAACCTCAACTCGCCGCAGCCTCACAATGGGTAGGTGACCAGCCAGCCAGGTCTCCAACAGAGACTCAGGCTCATTCTGTCTTTAAAGTGAGCTTTGATCGCCACGGGACATGTTTGATGAGCATAGTCCACAATAATGAGCTCATAATACCCAAGGCTGCGTGTTTCTCATGATGCAGCAATACCTGATGGGTAAGAACGCCTGCAGAATCCCGCCATTGTCTGGATTGTGGTTCTGAACATTTTGCGTTCCTGCATACTGAGGTGTGGTGGCAGGAGATTTGGGGTCAGCGAGTTCAAGAGTCTGGCCTTTAGCGTTTTTCTAGATTTATTGTGTATGCTTGGAATAAACAACATGGCGTTAAGCAGCTGTGTCTGTTTTCCTTGTTGGAACAGGCGGTTGCATCGCCACCCTGGTGACCAGACTGCTCTGGGATCCACTCAAACACGCCGTCTTCATCTGTTTTACTCTTCGTTCTGCACCTCTTTTCTGCCAAGGTCCTGAATTTTAACGAGCACTTTTATTTAAGATGATCAAAACAACAGATGTTAGCAGTCAGAGAGTTGAAGGCAGTACAATTGTGCTGCTTTTTTACGTAAACATGCGAAGGAGTCTGTGACGGTCTAAGGTTTTGATCTAAACAGGTCGAGAAGGTTGAAATCGGTCTTTAGGCCAGGACTTGATGTTGTCTGTTGCTGTTTATAGAGTCAAGACCCTCCCATAAAATCTGCTGAGCCCTCAAAGTGCCGTTATGGCCCGGTGCTGAATTACTTAAAAGCCTTACTTGGAAAGGCTCCTGTATGATTCCACCTTAACACAAGTTTCCTCACAAACAAATTGCATGAAGGGGATGTTTTATTCAAATAGCTGTCCTCTTTGTTTTATTCAAAAGCTGAAAAAAAACAAAAACTAAGACTTGAACTTCAGTTGGATTGTGGGAACATTTTCAGCTAAGAACCGGAGTCGAAAGCTCTGGAGTTTTTGGAGTGTAGTGGAGGGAAGGAGGGTGAATCAGGGCTCGGCTGCTGGAGTGCTGCGAGTGTGTTTGCAATCCAGCACTGTGTGTGTGTGTGTGATCTCCAGAGAACATGGAGACCTCAGTCACGTCAGCATTCTGAGCATGTTTACAGCACCGCACGCCTACAAGCTTGTTTTTACGACTGTTCACTCTGAGTGGCACTATTGCTTGCAGTGTTTGATGCAATGATGGTTAAATTGTTAAAATGAAAAGTATTTTATTCTATTATATATGCATACAGTAAACAGTAATATTGTGAAATAATACTACTATTTAAAATTACTGTTTTCTATTTGAAATTTTGAATATATAATTTAAAATGTAATTTATTCCTGTGATGGCAAAGCTTAATTTCCAGCAGCCATTACTCCAGTCTTCAGTTTCACATTATTGGTGCTCAGTTATTAATAATGGTTCTTATTATGATTAATGATGAAAACCAATAATTTTGCCCAATAATTTTGCCCAATATTTTTGCGAAATAATGCCCAATAATTTTGCGGGGAATAATTTCCCGTTCTCCCATTTTTTTCTGGATTCTTTGAATAGAAAACTCAAAAAAACAAAAAACAAAAACATTTATTTGAAATAGATGTTTGTTGTAACATTATAAATGTCTTGTGACTTTTGATCAATTTACTGCATCCTTACTGGATAAAAAAATAATAATTTATTTTTCTTTTGCCCAATAATTTTGTGTGGAATAATTTTCTGTTCTCCCATTTTTTCTGGATTCTTTGAATAGAAAACTTAAAAAAAAAAAAAAAAAATTCTTTGAAATAGATGTTTGTTGTAACATTATAAATGTCTTTATTGTGACTTTTGATCAATTTAATGCGTCCTTACTGGATAAAAAAATTATAATTTATTTTTCTTCTTTTATTTTTGTACTTACACCAACCTTTGGAATGGTAGTGTATCACCGTTTCCATAAAAATATTAAGCACCAAAAACTATTTTCAATATTGATAAAATAATAAATGTTTCTTGAGCTGCAAATGGAAGGATCATATGACACTGAATATTAGAGTAATGGCTGCTGAAATTTGCAATAACAGGAATAAATTACATTTTAAATTAAAATATAAAACCTTTTTCAAAGAAGTTAGTTCAATCATGACAACTCTCTGAACATTTTAGCATGGTGATGGATATGACAATGTTAATGTATTTGGTCTTGGCGGAACAGATCTGCTACGCTGCTGCTGAATTGCTGCTGCTGTTGGTTTCTCTTTTGAAAGGCTGTTTGCACTTTTGCACTGTGGTGAGGGAACTAAGCGTATGCTGTATGTGTTACTAAGCGTGAAAGTTCCGAAACTGAAGCTGTAGAACTACTATGGTTCAGTTGGAAGATTTCTCCAGTGCGGTCCCGCGAACGTGAGGTCTGACTTTCCCAGAGAAGTGTCACCTCTCTCGGCGTCAGTTCTGTGCAGTGAGCGGCAGAGAAGCAGCGCATTCAGTTGGCCGCACCGCAGACGTCTCGTCAATAAATGAGTACAAAACAGCGTTTCCAAGCACCTGTCGCTTACTGATTGTTTGGAATTATAAATATGAGCGTAGTTCGTCTGTTAATATCACATGCACTTTTTTGTTTATCAGTTTGTGCCAAGTCGTTTAACTCTCTGAATATCATCAGTTACGTTAACACCCCGTCAGAATGCGCCATCTAGAGTTTCATGACTGAACTATATATTTATAATTTTTTAGTTTTGTTCTTCTAGCAGTGTTGTGGATATTTTTCAAATTCCCACACCTAGACGGTTGTGTAAATTCATAAAATATAACAAATTTGTAACTTTATGATGTTTTCTAATAAATAGATTTTTTTCTACTTGCTCAACTTTCAAATTTTCAATGATTCATTGGCTAGAAATCAAAATCTCTATAAAATGATTTTATCCAGTAGTCACAAATGACTGGAAAAATCATAAATAATTTTGTCAAAATTTTGGGAAACATGTGATTTACTTTTTTTAATAGGAGGTACAGCTCATGTTTTCAGGTTTTCCATTGTGTTACTTACATAGCACACTGTGATTCTTTTCCCCACTAAAACCCACAATTTGCTTTGTTTGTCTCTGCATCACGTCTTTCTAAATGCTGTTTATTCTTCTCTCCATTTCTAAACTATTTTCTCTCCTTCTCTTTTTTTTTATCTCGTTTGTCATTCTACAGATGGAAGTTCCTGACAAGTTAGTAATGCCTTTCCTTATTTCCCCCCTGTTCTGAGAAATGTGTGCAATTATTGTTTTTGGCTGTTGAATCCCAGCCCTGTGGCTCTGCTTCTATCCGTTTCCATATATGATTTTTCCTAAATTGAATTGATCTTTCCCTATTCCCAAGCCTGCATTGTTGCAGTATTGGCTTTAGGAGATGGCAGATTTCTCACATCTAAGCTGCCGTCTCACTCTGTAGTTATTCAATAAGGGATTGTAAATGTACAGCTTTATTCCAATGTTGATATTTCAGACCGCAGTGGTGGAGATCAGCGGATGGCCTCCATTCACTCGGTCTAAAGCCAGGCTGCTTTAATGGACACTGTTGTGTTCTTTGTTGTTCTGCTGCCACTCTTCCTCTCTATTGTTATTTGTGCTCCTCTTCCTTTTTTCTCCATCCTGTTTTTTTTCTGTCTTCCTTCACACTCCCGTTCATTAGAGGAGAAGCCTTCTATGAGGAGTTGTACCCTGAGGGGAAGTAAGTGCTGAATGCTTGTGGCTCGAATGCACTCGCTGAAAGAGCGTAGACCTGCTGCTGACCTCACTAATAAACTCTTGCTTTTAACAACATTAGATTGTGTTTCATTGCCTTTTCACTCAGTAGTTGAACTGTATTGAAACGCTGCACTTTAGCTGGGTCGTTTGAATCTATTAGCAAATGTAGTTATGAACTCTCAGTGACTTCATTAGAGCATGAAGAAAGATGTGGAGCCTGAACTGAAATCACATTTTGTGGGTGTTTTGATGTATTATTTTGTGTGCATGTAGTTATGAATCTGATGTGTGATAACAGGGTTTACAACCTTTACAGACCCAGGGACCCTCACCAGACCTCTTAGCCAACCCATGGACTCTAGTATTAAAAAAATAAAAAATAAAAGCTCTGCAATTTTGTTAAATAACTTTCACGAAGACTGTTAACATTACTGCATTATATAATTAAATGATAAAATTAATAATGATTGTAAGTGTACTTTTTTAAGATAATGTTCATTATGACATTTATACATTTAGCAGATGCATTTATGCAAAGTGAATTTCAATGGAGGAACATATTGTGACCGAGCCAAAAATATTCATAGTGTAAATGTCTATTAGAAAGCTGGAAAAGGAAACAAGCTAGAACACTATTAACATCACAACATTATATAATATAATTAATAATTGTTCTAATAATAACTTTTAATTAATAAAAATGACATGAACTATAATTAACAAAAGCGCAAATAATTATTAGATAAAATTAACAAATAAAATAATGAACATTGTTAATATTCATTAATTGTTGCTTTTCATTTATTTATTTGGTACATTTATTTAAAAATAAATAATTTGTTTACTTATTACTGAACTTATTTGCTTGTATTTGTTAATTTACTTATTTCGTTTCCTTAGTAATCAAATTAATGTAGTACTTTTTGCTATAATTTAATTAGTAAAATAATAATAAAAGTAATTTAATGTAATTAAGTAATATTAATAACTATAATTAATACAAATAATTAATTCATAAATAAAATGTATAAACATAATGAACATTAATTGTTAAATTAAAAAAATATATATATTAAAAAAAAATTTTTTTTAATGAAATTAATTCTCCACTGACCCCCTCAAATACCTTCAGGGCCCCTGGTTGAAAACCCTAGTGCTAAAACATCACCTTACAAAATTTACAATGCTAATCATAGTTTCTGCACCATAAAAATGAGTTACTCTAATAGATTTGTGATAGCTTGGTGTAATAGCAACAATACCTGTAGTAACTGTTGTATTTTGTCAGAAACTTTGGTTA